TATTCACTGATTCTTGGAAGGCCAGTTTTATTTTGTGTCTGGTGTTTTCTAGGAGCTTTTTTAATGTTTTAAGGCGGATTTTTGCTGCTTCGGTGACGTAGTTTCTTTTAGATAGGTTATTTATCTGCGTTAGTAGGTAGCGTTTTTCGGTGCGTAATTCTTTGATGAGGGGTGTGATATATTTGTCGGTGGAGTTTATGTTAAAGTTGTAAGGGGGAACAGCGTGGTCTATTGCTTTGTTTATGTTTTCGTTTAGTGAGTCTAGGAGCGAGTCTATTTCCTGGATTGATAGGTTTCTGTTGTTGGGTATGTCTAGGTTGAGGGAGGAGTCCTGTAGAAATTGTCTGTATTTGTTCCAATCTGCTTTGTAGAAGTTAATTTTTTCATCTGGTGAGTTTTTGTCAAAGAAAAGGAGTGGGTGTTGGTTTATGGTGATTTGCATTTTTAGAGCTTTGTGGTCACTATCGTAATCTATGCACTTTATTTTGTCAGAATTTAAGTTTTGAAATACTAGTCTATTATCTGAGAGGCATAAATCTAGATAAGAATGGCCTCTTGGAAAAGAGGGGGTGTCCGTGCTACGTAAATCTAGTTTATAAGTTACTTGGTTTTTTTGATACCATGAATGGAGGCAAATACCCCTTACATTGTTTGTGTCGTTGCCCCAGGAGGTGTGTTTGGCGTTTAGGTCACCTGCAAGAACGTAGTAATTGCTTATGCTGTCTAGATTTAGTTTCTCGAAAAGGCTGTCGAGGTCTTGAATGAATTCTTTATTTTGGCCCCCTGCTGCATAAGCGGCAATGAAAAGGAGTTTTGTGTTGTCCGGTAAGTTTGTTTCTATTATTGTGGATTCTAGGTTGGAGTTTTGTTTTGCTCCTACGTTGACAATTTTGAATTTTATGTCGTTTCTGACCAGGATGGCAGTTCCTCCCGCCTGATTGGAGTTAGGTCTGTCATTTCTGATTAGATTATAGTCTTTAAAATAGAGTTTGTGACTTGCGTTTAGTTTGGTTTCGCATAAGAATGTTATGTCCGGGTTTTGTGATTCTATGAAGTCGTTTAGTGTGGTTCTTCTTTCGTTAGATATAATAGAGTTTACGTTTATTGCAATAACTGTAGGATTAAAATTGTAATTTAATCACTTAATCAGAACTCGCGAATTAACAAAACATGGAACAAGGAACTTTATTATCACAAGAACGAACACCAAACAAATAATATTCACAAAATCGTTATAATCGTAATCACAAAATCGTTATCACCGTCACGTACAATCGTTTCGTCCCCGAATCGACCGGCAAAAGACCCTGATGCCTACTCAACGCGTCCTTTTAAACCTTTTTGTCTCAAACATCCGCCGATACCATATCCAGAGGAGTTTCCAGAACATTCCCGTCGTTTCGCAACAACGTTTCGTTTCCATGCTTCATACATTCATACATCCAATCATGCAATCGTTCAGGGTCGACACATTCACGCAATTCAATCCTTGCCAGTTCCACATCCGGTAATCTTTCCCGAATGTTCTTAACATTTCCAAACATTCCATCTCTATGGCCAACGCACTCATACATTCAATCATTCAATTAGAGTCGACACATTCAGATCACTCAGCCGTTCTTCACGATCGATGCGAAACGACGGAAAACACTCGTCTCCTACATAACCTTTAACGTTTTGATTTGTATTTTCCCGTTTACTGCGCGGTTGAATTTATCTAAAGGTTTATATCGAACATCTCAAGAATCATGTTGATTTTGTTTGTGTTTGATTGGATTTGTTCAGATATTTTGTTTATGTGCGTGTTTATCGTTTTAGCAATTGTTTTTTCTAATTTTTCAAACAGGGAATAAGTGTTCAGTGTATCGTCTGTTTGGGGGTTGGTTTGAATAGGGGTCGAGTCGTTTACCTGTCTTCGGTGAAGGCTGTTGTTACCTGCGACCACTGAGCTAAAAGAAATCCTCTGATCTACCAGAGTTTGTATGCTTTTGAGACGTTTTTCTTTTAGTTTATCTTGCTGGTCCCGTTCTTCGATTATTTTGTTTTTAATTTCTATAAGTTTTGGGCATCCCCTGTACGATGCGGGATGTCTATAATTTTTGCAGTGTACGCAGTACGGTTGTTCTAAGTTTGTGGATCTGTCGTTATGGTTCTGTGGTAGGAGTTTACATTCGCCCGGGTTATGTTTTTCGTTACATTTCACGCATCTATATTGCAATTAATAACGGAATGACCTATTCTTTGGCATCTTTTACATTGTACTTGTTCTTTTTTGTTTAGTTTGTCCCATACTACGGCGGAATATAATAGTATTTTAATTTGTTTTAATTTCTCCGGTTTGCTGTCAGGGGAGAGTTTGACTAGAAAAATTGGCAGTTTTATCGCTTCTTTAATGGAACGTATCGTTTGCAATTTAATTACATTCAGAAAGTTAAGTCCTTGGATCTTTTTATTTTTTAGTTCGTTGAGAACTTCCTCAGCATTGAAGTCCCCATCTAAGTTTTTTAGCAGTACCGATATTGACTTTTCTTGTTTGGGTGTGAAAGTGAAGAATTGGGTGTTATTGTTTTTTAGGATTAAACAAGCGTTTTTAAAATCTATTGAATTATTTACATATAAGAGATGTTTAGCGTTATTGATTTGTTTCACGAAGAAGTTGGTTATACGTGTCTTTTGATAATATCTATCGTTTCCTTTGGTGCTTGAACGAATATGTTGATCGGAGGTTGCCGTGTAGGTTTGGTGGTGTTGGCATCCCCTTCGCTGAGCGGTAGCGAAGACGTTACGCTTTCCCTTTTCTTTGGTGCGATGGCCTGGCTGGCCCAATCCTCTGTCAATTGTTTTCTTTTGGCGTGGCGTTTTCCGCTAGGGCTGGGATATTCCGCTTCTTTTTCTTGCGTGTTCGTTTTTTTTTGTTCGCTTGCAGGTAAGCTCGACTGGGGGCTGGAGTCGGCAGTGGTGTCGAGTTGCAGACTTTCAAATTTGTTCTGCACTGGTATTTCGATCGTGTACGATTCATGGCTTTTTGATATTGTTTTGTGTTCCTCTTCTAATTGCTTTTCTAACTTTGCTACTGTTTGTTGTAAATCGGTTATTAGTTTTGTGAGTTCTTCGGGCGATGGTATTTGATCGTCTTTCATTATTATTTCACGATCGCAGTCCATTGCGTTGACCGCGACCGCGGTGTTCTTTTGTTCCTTCGTTTTTCCCATGTCTGGTGATTCTGTAGCTCTTAGTAGCTTGGATCTTCTATTAGGAAGCTTGGGAGGCGGATTTAGTCTTTTTATAAGTTTATTTTTTAAGTTTCGTTTTGCGATTTTCTCCACGTTATTGTCATCGTCGTCTATATATTTGATGAGTATTCTGTTTTTGTTTAATTGCTTGGCATTGCTGCCATCCTCTTTTAATAAGTTTTTCGCGAATTCACTGTATGCACATGCTGTTTCGCAAATTTTCTCGTTTGCCGAGACTTTTTTGAAAAGTTCGCGAGGCGAACCCCCCACCGGGGGAGTGGTCTCGCAGACACTTATTTTAGTGAGTTTATAACACAATGCTAAACTGCACGAATGACAATTAGTAGTATAGCTAGGGGGATTCTAACCCACGGGGCAATGAGGGGAGCGTGCGGCGAGGGGAAGGTAGGGCGCGCGGGGGAGTGCGGCGCGGGGACCTTTTGGCGCGGGGCCTGTGGGGAGTGGAAGAGTGGTTGCGCGCATACGAGCCGTGGAGTGGGGGATGTCAGGGGATTAGTCCAGGCCGAGCCGCCGCGGAGACCTCTCCAGACCTGGCCCGCCGTCGGAAATTTTTTAAGAGGGGGGGAATGATCCCCGAAAACTTTTCATACCGAACCGAGGGACGGGATGACCCCCGAAAATTTTTTTCAACACCCACAGGCATTTTTTTTATTGTCTTTTCGGCGTTCTCGGTACGTTTGTTGAGATCTAAAAAAAAAAGAATTACATAATGTTCTCCTAAGAAAATATTTACAGCTAGCGAAAAAAAAAGAACACATCATTCGGCTCGTAAATCTATTCTTTCTATTTATTATTCTAGTACTCGTATAAATTCAGATTTTTATAGTTCACTGTGGTTAGGTTTGGTCAAACTCTTGCAAAACGCGTTATAGAAAATGGTTAATATCATTACGAAACACAAGAAATAAAAAGTTTCATACTGTATACTAAATGCGAAAATTTACTCGAAAAATTGCAGCTCCTCTTTCATCCAGAGTCGAGTCTCGCGCAACGATGCGTTTTCGCGCTTTGTCAGCGAGTACGTTATCTGCTGCGTGCCTTTCGCCGAAGTCGTTGCTACGCGAATATGCAATATCGTGTTCGCGACACGTTTAAAAAAATATCATACCTTTAATAACTCTGAATAGTAGAAGCAGATTTTTACGTATAACATTGACGAGCATTATGGGCGCGGGGAAAGAAATTAGATGCCTTTAAAAAATATGATATATTTATTTAAAGCAACAAATGATTATATAACATTACTTTTATGGATCCATGAATTGTGCGAGTTATTGAGTCCTAGCCATTTTACGTATACACTGTTCCCCTTCTTACGTAATACTTTTTCAACCAGATACACGTCGGAATTAGCAACTCGTTGCAACTCTGCTATTGATGTATTTGATTTCGGAATTCGATAATACCCCTCTCCAATTGATTCAGCTGATCTTTCAAGCTCTGAACGTAATCTTGAAATATGATCATCTTCTTGTCGAATTCATCTTGCCGATTTTTTATAATTGTCATGTTTTCTTGCAAGTACAGCTTGTTGATAGCATCGCCATCCTCTACAGGTGGTGCTACCCGTCGAATCTTGCGCGACTTTGCATCGTAATTGGCACCAGCAATACAAAGAGCATTGTCATGTACATAGTTTCTGACTACTCCATTCCAGCGATAGTATGATTCCACTGTTCCAAACGATGACCCAAACTTGTTGATTGGCATTTTGATATCGATTGACAGCATCGTCAAAAGTGCAGGCTAATTTATAATGAGTTCTGCCTCGCGAAGCTCCTCGATAATCGATAACATCTCATTGTTATGTGCATTGTGACCGGCTTGACGCGAAGCCTCGAGCAGTCGAAGCCGATCTACGAGTTCGTTGGGATCGTTCCAGTGAACATAATCAATCTTGTTGCTAGTTAATCTCATGGAACTTGGTACGCCCTTTCCAACTTTTTTATCTTTCAATAATGGCTTGATTACATAGTTATACTTGTATCCTTTATTGCCTAATGTTTTACCATACGAATCATGTTTGTACTTATGCGCACTCGTGGTCAGCAGTATGTCCCTATATTTGCGTTCATCAGCCTCAGTATAAATGTTGTCATCTGGAATTTTCTTAAATATCAATTCATAAAGGCCGGGCGTACCAGAATATCGTATGCCATCGATAATTATGTTATCGGCATTGCCCACGTCAACACGTTTATTACCAAGCATCGGTCCATCACTGTCGAGATAAACACCATACACATGATCCATACCATCCTCCACATCACCGCGTAATACAGGCGCGATGTATTTTTGACTCAGTGGACCTAGGTGATTCCGCAACGTTTCTTCACCTTCCGACGTTTGCAACCGACTTCGAACAGACGTCGAGAAACTGCTTTTTGGACTTTCAAAAACATCTTCGTTTGCTAAGCTTTTTGGACTATCAAAAACATCTTCGTTTGCTAAGCTTCTTGTTGCTGGTACTGGCTTAATCGGTATAGAGGTCATCGGATTCATATCGGGTAAACTGCTTAATCTTACTGAGCTTTTTATTGTTGGTACTGTCCTAATCGATGTAGAGACCGGTGTAGAGGTCATCGGATTCACGTCGAGTAAACTGCTTAATCTAGGTTTTTTTATTTGTGATGGTTTTGGAAGATTTAGCCATAAATGTGATTGTGTTTTATCCGATTCCTTGATATTTGACGTGAACAATGGCCCGCTTCCGATATCTGTATTATTGTGTACATCATAATTTTTTAACGTGTTGTTGGCAATTGCCTTCAGCGGCTCAGTAACAGGCTTAAAGTGTTTTTCCAGTGCAATCTCTTCCTCCATTTTACCAGTTTTCAATTCACGATACTTTCTACGAATCAAATCGCTCGTTCTTGCAATCTGTTTCGCTATCCTTTCACGATCTTCAATATTGCTGCTGCTCATGTTGGAACACTGCTTTGTCAACGTATAGGAAGTAACTGGACATGTTACGATATTGCAAAGTCATTAAATCCTTTTCTATAGCGACCATTCCATAATGCACTGTCTTTGTCAATCACTACAAATCCATATTTTTCTTGCCAGCAGGCGGTACACAATGTGCAGAAATTCTCAAATGACATGTCAGTGTTTACATGATCGTTGTACACATGTTTCAGATTAGTACCATCTTGTTTGAACATGATCAGCAGGTTCGCGTTGTCGCGTATCAGATGCTTCGGTATCTTCGCGTATGTCTGACAAAGATAGAAACAGTCAACGTCCGAGTGCCTACCCATTGCAAAGTATTCTCTTACCGTGTTTTGCTTATCGCATGCCACGTCATCAAAGATAAAAATGGAATTCGGAAGTGCCTCGCTCGACGGAACGACGTCGCTGTTATTCGAAAATGTAAAATAACCAATTTCGTCTATCGATGAGAATATATTTTCTAAATATTGATATTTCGGTTGTTGTAACGATTTCGAGTACACGTATATGTTTTCGAAACGAACGCCGTACGGACTTTCTAACAAACTAATCAACACGTTCGTTTTACCACAATTCGATGGACCGCAGATTATACCGCGTATAGAGGTCGGCAGCATATTTCCATGTTTGCGCACCTCTTTCTCAGACTGTGTCTTTTTGTCTACATTAGTCACTTTGATCATAGGTGATTGGCGTACGAACTGCATATTTTATCGGGGTGCTATACGAATGAAGATCCATTCGAGAGAGCTGGTCTATTTATAGCGATGCATAGAGCTGGAACGATCAGTGTTCAAATATAGCCTGTCGAGTCAGCAGAATGCACATTGACAGTCCACCACCATTGATAAACAACTGTGGCGAATGTCAACAAAAATTGGAAAGGGTCTATTAAATCGCGTTATAAACACACTTCCGATTGAATTACATATTCCAGGTTATCAGTATTGTGGTCCTGGGACACATTTAGAGAAACGCTTGGCGCGAGGCGATCAAGGTATCAATCCGCTGGACGCCGCGTGCCGCGAGCATGATATAGCGTATTCGCAAAATAACGATCTCGGAAAACGACACGCGGCCGACAACATCCTAGCAGCGAAAGCGCGAGAACGCATTACCGCGAGAGATTCCAGTCTCGGGGAAAAGGCTGCCGCTACAACCGTTTGGGCGGCTATGAAGGCTAAGACAAAATTCGGTATGGGTTTGAAAAAGAAAAAGAAGAGTGGTTCGAAGAAACGAATACTTCCAGTGGCAAAACGTGGCGGTATCCTACCGATTTTACCATTATTGGGGGTTCTCGGCTCATTGGCCGGAGGGGCGGCAGGAGTCGCGAAGGCTGTGAACGATAAGAAGGCAATGCAGCGACAGCTGGAGAAATGAAACGTCACAATCTCGCCATGGAAGGTCATGGACTTTATCTCGCGCCGTACAAACGCGGGCGGGGAGTCTCAAAGAGAAAAAAAAACGTCAAAATTAAAATGCCTGAAGGCGTAACCACCAACATACAACTACAGCAACTCGCGAAAGCGCATGCGTATCCATATTTCAGAGGTATTTTTATGCGCAATAGCAATATCGTGTTCGCGACACGCTGCGTCCAACGGATTAAAATATAAAATATAAATTAATTGTATCAAGAGCTACGGATTAGATTCAGCGCATTACTATACTCTACCTGGTTTCACATGGGATGCAATGCTAAAACATACCAAAATTACATTCGAATTGCTCACAGACATCGATATGCTCATGTTTATCGAACGCGGTATACGCGGGGGCTTAAGTCAATGTTCCGGAAGATACGCACATGCCAATAACAAGTACATGTCATCTTACGACGCATCGTAAGAGTCATCGTACTTGATGTACTTTGACGTGAACAATTTGTAAGGATGGGCAATGTGTCAGCCTCTACCATACGCTAAATTTCAATGGGTCGAAGATGTTGTAAATTTTGACGTATCTTCAATCGGTGTCGATTCGCCCACGGGGATACATTCTCGAGGTAGATCTGGAATATCCGCAACGTCTGCACGATGCTCATGCAGATCTGCCGTTCTGTCCGACGCGTGCCAAACCACCTGGCAGCAGGCAGGACAAGTTACTCGCGACGGTATACGATAAGCAGCGTTACATAATCCATTATCGCAACCTGCAGCAGTGCACGCGTCACGGTCTTCGTATTACAAAGATACACCGCGTGCTTCAATTCGCTCAATCTCCCTGGCTTCGCGATTACATCGAACTCAACACACGATTTAGAACAAGCGCGACAAACGACTTTGAAAAGAATTTGTACAAATTGATGAACAACGCAGTATTCGGTAAAACTATGGAAAATGTACGAAACCATGTGGATGTAAAACTTGTGACACATTGGGAAGGGCGATATGGCGCGGAGGCAATGATCGCGAAACCGAATTTCCACAGCAGAAGTGTTTTTTCGGAAAATTTAGTAGCTGTTGAATTGCGAAAACTCGAGGTGAAATTCAACAAACCGATATACGTGGGTATGTGCATTCTGGACATATCAAAACTTTGTTTGTATGAATTTCACCACGAGTACATGTCTCCTAAACACGGGCAAAATTGTAAAATTCTATACACCGACACTGACAGTCTTATTTATCACATTCGGTGCGACGATATCTACGAGTCTATGAAGCACAATATCGATAGATTCGACACAAGCGATTATCCTACCGACAATCCATAAGAATAGCGTAATCGAGTATAATCACATGCCTTATCAGCGCTATAATCAAAGCAATTGTGGACAGCTATGTTTACAGTTTCTGCAGTCGGTTGACAATCAATTTAAGGACAGTCATTGCTCACCTTAACTCCAGTATCCGTTTGAACATGTCGTTGACGTTAATGCTCACCGGTCAAAGTAGCATTCTCGCAGTAAGCTATTTTCCAGCCATCGATTTGAGCAATGGTGATTACGAGCTCGGTCTTATGGACTTTGAGACTTATTACACTATACCGAATATAAATTTGTCGAATAATAAATTTTACTACGATAACGATGATAAGGAAATCATTATTCCCGAGGGATCTTATGAGCTGGACGACATTCGCATGTAATTGCAACGATCGCTTTCACAGGGTAATGAAGGGAACCCCCCCATGATGCTTAGAGCCAACAACAATACGATGAAGAGCGAAATCAAGTGTGATTACAGCATAAATTTTACCAAACCCAATACTATCGGCTCGCTGCTGGGGGTTTCGACGAATCGGGTGCTACAACCGCGGAAATGGCACGAATCGGATGCACCAATCAATATAATGAACGTAAATATTATTCGCATTGAATGAAACGTGACGGCTGGTGCTTACAGCAATAACAAGTGCGTGCACACGATACATGAGTTTTCGCCTACCGTTCCACCTGGATATAAGATATCGGAAAGACCAGCACAGATCATTTACCTCCCAATCACTGCGCGAAGCATTTCGGATTTAACGATTCGCGTTGCGGATCAAGACGGTCAATTGCTCGATTTTCGAGGGGAACAGATCACCGTTCGACTGCATGTACGGAGACAACGGCTGTAGTAGGAGATGCTTGTGCTGAACGAAGCGGAGCAGGTGAAACAGACAACACGTGAAAACAAAGAGAAGACAATTCAATCGTCGGCGCACCTCACTGTATCGAATATTGACTGTCTAAAACCATCAGGCGAGAAGGCAATTCGATCACCCGCGAAACTCACCGCATCGAATATTGAATTTCTGAAATCGTTGGGTTTTGTTGTACGAAATGGCTAATATCTTAAACATTGGAGGCAAACCGATCTTTGACGACAGCATCGTCAAGATGGAGACTCATACGTACAACCCATACGCCAACACAACGTTTGGACACAGCGATGAGATACGAATACCTATACAACAGCAGGATTTATGCACGTTGCCAAGCGAGAGCTTTCTATACGTTGAAGGAAGATTCACAGTAAAGAAGCCAAACAAGGAGTTGGAAGCATATCTCGGAAATAATTGTGTTGCGTTTATGTTTGATGAAATTCGATATGAACTCAATGGTGTGGAGATCGATCGTAACAGAAACGTTGGAATAACAAGTACCATCAAAACCTTCGTGTCCTCAACATTTGATAAATCGTTAATTTTACGGAATGCAGGATGGGTCACACAGTCAAACATACCGACAGGTTACTTTAACTTTTGCGTACCGCTAAACATGTTGTTGGGTTTTTGCTTACAAGCGTATAGTAATCAATGCTCGTCATGAGCTCATTCTTATACGCGCTCGCAGCGATAACAACAGCGTCGTTGCAAATTCCGCGCTGGAGCCAGAGATCGAATTACTAAAGATACAGTGGCGAATGCCTCGCATTATACTGAACGATACGAATAAACTATCGATGTTGCGGATTTTGGAAAACGGGCAATACCTAAGCATGAGTTTTCGTTCGTGGGACCTGTACGAGTACCCATTATTGCAAAGTACAACTAAACATTCGTGGGCCGTTAAAACTGCAACTCAGCTGGAGAAACCGCGATACGTAATTTTTGCGCTGCAGACTGGTCGAAAGAACATCATGTCTCAAGATGCGAGCAACTTCGATGCATGTAACTTGACCAACGTGAAACTTTATCTAAACTCTGACTTTTATCCATACGATGACTTGAATCTCGATTTTGATAAAAACAGATATGCTATTCTTTTTGATATGTATGCACGTTTTCGTAAAGCTTATTACGGATACGACTGTTACGAAACGCTTTGCAACAGAGACAACTTTTCGTTGTATGGACCATTTGTAGTAATCGATTGCTCGCGACAGAACGAATCAATCAAGAGCGCAACCGTAGATGTGCGAATAGAATTTGATTGTAAAGAAAACGTACCAACAAATACTACTGCGTATTGTCTTATTTTGCATGATCGTGTCGTCGAATACTGTCCACTGTCCAACGTTGTGCACAGAATCACATAAATTGCA